AGCGTCCACAATCACTATGACTAGCACAGACCATCGCACGTATGGAGGTTACAGAGCAACCCTTTGTGACCAAAAGAGGTCTGGACCAAGGTAGTGGTGGGGCCGGGGCTGAGGATACCGGACGCTTGAAGTTCGGTGGCAGGCTGGTGTGCATCTTGTCGAAGAGGTACATCTGCATCGGACCAGGGCGAGAAGTAGCAGCGAACGCGACATCCGCGAGTTTGCGGATATTAGCAGCAGTCGGGCCCGGAAAAGTACAACCTCGGAGGGGCTTGTGTATGAGGTTTCCTTCTCATCTGTGCTTTTCATCATCCACAATGCATTTTTGCTCTCACGCTTCATGTGCTTTGTAATTTTTTACGCCGGCATGTCTTCGAAGCCAACCCAACCCAAAAAAATCACACCCATTTGAATTTTCCGTAGTTACATTATAGGATTCTGCCCCAACCAGGAGACCGAGCCGAGCTTCAACTTCCACATCTGAGGACAGCTGCAATCCGTGGTCTTACCAACAGTCTCTAGCGCCTCATCGTTCAGATAGTACTCCACTGCAATGGGCGGTGGAGGGATCTTCCTGCCACACGTCCACTGTTGGGATCAGACCGTTGGGGTCAGTACCTGATGAGAACTGGGCTGATGCATCAGGTGCGGATGTTGGTTGCCTTGAAGTAGTGGAACTACTACCACGAAGCCCCAGCAAGAAAGTCTTAAAACAGAAAGTCTTGCATGATCCAGCAAGCGTTTTGTACGGTCCAACAGCTGTGCAACATCCAGGCTTGAATGCTGTGGCTAAATGCTCCGGGAGCCCTGTCCTCAGCCGTTCCTTGTTGGCATCGGCAAACTCGCCATAGGTGTCGACGGCATGTGCCTGGCGTCGTGGTCCGGGAGGATGTGTGGGATGGGCGTCATATGGCTGATACTGCCCTCCTTGATTAGCATGGAACCACGAATTGACCTTCGGAAGATGAGTTTCCTCGATCAACCGATCAACCGGGTGTGGTTCTCAGGTTCCAATTTAATCTTCTGGGGCGTACTCCCCTGCAGATTCACATGGACCCCCAAAACCACCCATCGATTCTCAGGGATGTTGTCCGCGCTCCGAAAGCACCTGAACCGCATCCGCAAAATATATAATTAACGAGGAAAAACCCACGATTCCGCGAAGGATCCATCGCGAGTGGCCGCCAAATCTCACAGTTTGAGCGCTGGGCATTGGGTGTCTTTTTAAAACGCGAGGCAAAGATATCAAAGGTCAAGACACTCTGTCAGATAGAGGCTTCAATTGAAGGTCATTTACCTCAACATACTTACTTTCACTTACACCCGGCCCGAAATCGTTTTCCAGTGGGTGTGCAATAGGGAGACCCCCAATCGGGTGACCGGGTCTATGTTCCGAACCTTCCAGTGGGGTACTTTGGAGGTCTTCCTATTTTGAGCTACACTCCAGTCCTTATTTCAAGAAACATTCAATGGATGCGTTCCACCCACGTACCCGCCCGCATGCTTGCCTTGCCGTGTGACCCAAAACCGATCCAAAAACGATGGCCTGGACCCCCAACTCATCGAGGTGTGTACTATATATATATATACTATACTATATATAGATCTTTTGATACTACTGTATCTACTGTATACTAGAACTTAGAACCTCTAAATTTGATCCCTCTCGGCATATCCACACACTCCTCATCAGTTCTCTCTACCACTCCCCACTGGTCCAGGAGGTCTACCCTTTGCCCACAGCCATTATGCCATAGCCTGCTTCCTACCCGCTGACTGCTCCAAAAAGACCCTGGTTGGGGGTTTCAAGGCAATGGAAGAAATCTTGGTCAGTGGGTGATAAATCATCCCAAGGACATCTAGGTTTTCTTATGGTTTTGACATGTTCTTGACCTATCCCCATCTCTGAAACCACCACCTGTGGTGCCTCAATGAGGCGACTGAAGTTGTAGGACCACTTTGGATCCACGAAGAAAAACCTCAGAGCGGCATCGGTCACGCGGTCCATCCACTTCACCGAGTGGGTGGGTCGGGTCGGGTCCGGGGGTCCGGAGGTGGCGTGCCCAAACGAGGCATCGGATGACCGGGGTTCTTGGGGTTCTTGGGCTTCAGTTGAATCGTGATAAACCGGCAGCACGAGCAGAACACTCCACTCTCAACCCGTTCCAACTGCGGTTCGTTTTTGCGGAGGAATCCCTGCACCACCTGGGATGCCATCATAGGGTGTCCAATTGAGGTGGTTTGCCCGAATTTCTTTCAATGTCACCTTCCTCCGACACAACCACTTGTGTGTAGCCAGGTGCTCCGGCAGCACAAGCAGCCAATAGTAGGCCACAGCTCCATGCTGGGCAAAGAACCTCCGATTTGGACAGGGTACAGGAGAGACTCCAAGAAAAGAAGATTCAGAACACTGCATCTCAACCCAGGGAAACAGCCAACCATGGTGTTGCTTTTGTGTACTTCCTTGCAACACCGTTTTAGAACACTCACTTGTGCACCTCATGCGGACCTTGCAACACGGTGGAGGTTCCCCAGTTCCCGCTGTTGCCGTGTCCTTTCTTTGTGACACTTCACGAGGGCGCAAGTTCATGCACTGGCTGTGCAAGCAGGGTGGTAGCAGAGTGGTTTCCACTTCCATGTGATGTGTTTGTGGGCGTGTATCTCCACTTTCTCGCTTGGAATGCCCAGAAACATCCAGGACTCCAAGTTCATGAGCATCAAATCCTATGCTGAGAATATAACCGGATTGACATGGTTTAAATAGTCCTGGAAGATGTTAACAATGACTCCGATGCACTATAATACTTAGTATATAGGTCTACCGTACCCCTTTGATGGCGGGGTTGGGCATCTAGAGTCTGACTCACAGGACATCTTCATATCTTTCACCCGAGCATACCAGGCATCATCGCCAGTGAAAGAGACGCATGTCCAACGGGACATCGCCTGTCCAACCATCGCTGGTCTCCGCCTCAGTGTGTTCACCCATGGAAGAAACAGCATTCTGCACACCATGCTGCTCTCCAGCACACACGCACACAGGAGAGTGGGCAGATCGCTGCTCAATGTTAATCACTGCTAAATGTTAATCACTGCTATAGAGGAATTATCAATTAGAGCAAGTGTTCGGGTAGCTGGGGTTCATTCCACATCAAAATGGCACAACTCTTCTCCCAGTAAAAACGTGGATCAAGTGTCCCGGGCAACCATCCAGGAATCACACCTTCAGACTGCGAAGGAACTAACAACTAACACTACCAGTACCAGCGCGTCAACCTGCCAGCTTTCTTGCCGCGAAGTAGGAAGGTCCACATATACTGGGACATGCTGGGACCAAAGGTAAGACGCTTCGCTTTGGTCAGTTCGGTCCAAACCGATCAAGCGCTGTCTGCTGGACATTGATGTGAGTAACCCCGTGTGGAAAGGAGCCGTCAATTGTAATTATCCTTCTTTCCGTTCTTTCTCATACAGTATATTATATCTCCCTCTCTCCCTCTCTCTCTCTCTTTCTCTATCTCTGCCTCTATCTCTTTCTCTGTCTCTTTAGTCTTCAATGCTTCAAAGGTGCAAACCGCTGTCTACTTGTCAGGCTCGGCTCCAGTTCGTCTAATGATTGTCAGTGGAGAATAAATAGTTTATGAGCTTCCCCTAGGGTCTCATAATCATGTGCATTACCTGGAATATAGTGGGGTCCACACCTGGGGTTGTTGTCAAAAGGTCATGAGAAGAATACAGCCTCGCTTCTCGTGTGCCATGAGTCACATGGCTCAATCCCCAAGACTGAGGGCACCACCCAAGGATTCCATGACCAACAGGTGATGCAACCTTAGTCCGGGCCCGCACCCAGCGGAGCTTGCTGCCTGCTGGATGACGATACACCCCTAGGCAAAGGCAGATCTAAACAAAGGCAGGTTGTGATACTACACAAACCGAGCACAAACAAAAGTTTCTTTCGAAAATGATGACCTGGCACTCACTGAAAGCGACTGCCAGGTCTCGACCAGGTCGTGGTCCACTCAAACTTGCATAATGGTGATAAGTTTGCTTTAAAAAGGGGGTGGTGGGTGTTCATCCAAACCTCGTCCCTGGTCTCTGCACGACAAATAACGGTCAAACCTGGGTTCAGACTGTTGCCCTCCTATCCAACAATCATGGAAGCGGATAGCTTGGCACTCAACAACAAATACTACACATTGTGTATATATCATGTGTATTAAAAATAAATTTATATAATTATATTAAATAGTCTACAGGACCACAAAGAAATGCAGTCCATGACCTTGATTGGAGGCACTATTGTTTGCTGGGGGGGGAGGCCAAACCCTCCCCATGTGATCATGTTGTTCAACACTTCTCGGCTAGTGCTCATGATCCTCAGCCAGGGCCCTCTGCTCGTTGTCCTCCTCTGCCTGCCAAACGTCCGAGCGGCTCAAGCAGGACGTTGCTTCAAAAAGGTCGACGGTCGACGGATCGGATCTCGCGATCATCCAACTGTTCTTTGAAGGCATGCAAATTTCCACCCCAAAAGCATGCAGATCCCTGGAATTGGCGTCAAGAACAAGCATCCTGAACGGTCTTGTGGATGCTGGAAGCCCCTAAGTTGATGGAATCGAAGAGAAACATCATCAAATAACCACGCAAGTGGGACATGTTATAGCCTCAGAACCTATGAATGTCTGTTCATAGTTTTGAACTTAAAGGTTATTGATCATGTGTTGGAAACATGATGTCGATCGTGTCAGACAACGTAAAGGGTTTCTCCACAGTGAATTCGTGGATGGTCCCATGTGATCTGGTTTCGTTTGGAAAAGCGCAATACACAGAGATGGAAGTTGAAACGTCCAGTGGCGGTGTACTGGAATGTGCACTTCCATGTCCAACTACCCAAGCACAACAGCTGATTTCTTCTAACATCGTGCTTCTCTTAACTACCAACTTGTGCAAACCATCAAGTTGGATCATTTTGAGTCCCCTTTTTGCATCCCACCTGGGATGAAAGCTTAAGACCAAGCCGCCCCGTCTCCCCGCGTCCCCCCCGTCCCCCCAAACCGCGCCGCGTGCACCGCACGCAGCTCCGGGGAGCGCCACCAGCCAAAGGTCTCGTAGAGATGGAGCACCTGGGACTGCCACATACGCCACACGACTCATGGGACTGCCACGTCACTACCCCAAACACCTACCCCATCTCATCGGCCAAACACTACCGGTATAGTCTCATGGAGTGTGCCATGGAAGTCACCCTGCGACGGAAGGCCCCTCTTTGGGACTCACCTGTGATGGGCGCCGGGGTCTCCCGAGGTGCGGTTTCTCCCGCCCTCCCGCCCAGCCGGTCATGAATAGAGTAGACGACCAGGTGGTGAAACAGGCGACCTTGGTTTTGGACTCACAGGCCATATAAACATGTGGGTAGTCATGTGGGTTCACGATGTCCCAGGGTCAAAGCCCCACCCCAGTTTGTATAGCATGTGCATGTGCATGGATGGTCTGGGTATGGAAGCATACTACATGCCGTGAATGGGAAAACTGCACTGTCCCATCTACGGAAACACTGCCTATTTCCATGAAACTGTCCTTCTTTCTTCTGGGGAAAGGATGTGTTTCTGGCAATCACTGCAGATTTTTCAGTGCCACTTACGCAGTCGAGCATCTTGCCTGTCCAACCTATCAAGCAACGGGGCATGAAGGAACAACCATCAATGGCTTCAGGTATGACTTTCCACCCAAAACCACCAAGGTCAGTTACATATCCAACACCCACAACTCCTCAAAAAAACGTCTCTTTCCGCTCTTCGACTCGAACGCGACAGCCAAAAACACCCCCTCCCGTTTCCCAACGCCTCACGCCCCACCGTGAAACCCGAAAAGACGCGTTTAGTCGTGGACGTGTTGTTGGTCTTCTTTTGAGTGTTCCGGACCGAGCTGTAGGCGAAGTAGGGCATCCGCGCCACGGTCTCCAAGAACCAAAACCTGCGCCGCGTCCGAGCGGACGTCTCCAGTCGACCCTGTGCTGCGCCGTGCGAATTCGTTGGGTCGACCACACCCGTCGGGTGCCATTGATGGTGCTGAACATATACGTTGTGGGTGCCGAAAAACACGTGCTCTTGAAGGAGTGAGCATGCCAAACCAGGAACTCCATGAAACCGTCCTGTTTTTTCGCCCGTTTTCGACCACGCGCTCTGACACTCCGCCCACCTCTGAATGGGCCGGTCTTCAAAGACCACATCGATGAACCTGACACATCCGATTGGTCAGACGGCGTCCGACCTTAACCGAAGACGTCAGTGATGCGATGCGAAAAACCTGTGCCTCTGAGACTCGTGTTTGTTTTTTTTCGGTGAGAAACCAGCTAAAGAATCAAACGGCACATGAGCGCGTGACCAAGCACATGGCTAACGACTAATGGTTAACATGGGGAGTTCTTAAATTTGTCTGTTGAGCGTCGCAGGTGCAAATCTTAGTCAGACTGGTCTAAGAAACCTTCCGATGAAACCCACTACAAAACCCATTGCCAGTGGTCAAAAGGCACATTCGCCGGCACGGCTCCTTTTTCCAATCGAACAGGAGACTATACAAGAACCTTCCCAACACATGCATCACTGCATCATGATTTACCACCCTCTGGCCGATTCCACTGTAACCCACGGCATCAGAGCTCTGAAATTCCTGACCAGCAGAGCACATCGTAGGCAACACGGACCTCAGCAGATGCCGCCGGCGCCGCCCACCGGTGCTACCGATGAGGCGATGAGGTCCATTTAGACTGCTTGGGTGGTTTCAACGAGAACGAAAGCAAACAATGATGCGACAGTGGGCTCAATCATCTCAAGCAAAAGTTGAAACGCAATGAAACACGCAGATATATATATATTATATAATGGATATCAAAATATATCATAGTTATCATCATTGATCTGAAACTACCATCCAGTTTAGTTCTTAAGTCTAGGACCCTAGGAGTTCGTGACTCTCCTTTCAAAGTCATTTCTGGATTAGTTCCACCCCCATCCTCCACCCTCGCAGCGAGAAGGTCCAATGTCTCCAGGCCTGCAGGGCTGAACCAATCAGTCAACGTGTGAAATCCGGAACCCAAAGACATCACCTTCTCTATTCTGAAAAGGAGGCGTGACCTCATTGTCGTACTCCACTGAAAATCCGGCGTTTCGACACTCCGGCATGCTTTGAGGGTCATGATGACGGCCTCACTCAGCATCCCCTGCAGACCCACATTGAACATCACCTTTCTGTCTACATCAGAACAAATCACCAAGTGAATCTTTCAGGGCTAGAGCGGCTAGAGGAAAGCCTGGACGTTTGATCCTGGCAACCACAGCCCACCCGTCTTCCCCACCGCACCGTCTTCCCTGCTCCGGGTCGCGGGTGGAGGCGTCGGGACCTGAGGCCGGGCATCTTCTCGGTCCTTCACCGCCTGGGACGGGTGAGGTGAGTAGCGAAACGGGTGAGAAGCGATGCCTTCGGTCTCTGGAGAGGTCTGGAGCATCTCTTTAGAGGTCTTGGAAGTAGGGTTTTCATCCTGAAGGTCCTGTCGAGTTTCATGTTGATGCTGGAAGGAGTCGTTGGAGACATTGGCGGTTTTGGGGGATGAAGACCTAGTAGTCGGCGACACCTGGCACTCATCTGCACTCCAATTGGCTTACAGGTGGAGTCGGTGATGGCACACCACTGGGAACTGAGGTTTGGCAAAGTCCTTCCTTTCCCCAACGTCAAGGTCAAACATCGAAATGCCAATCCCATGATGGTCCAAAAGTTGCTATTGCTATGGTAGTTTCTCAAACATCCACGACAGTTCAGCACTGACTTTTTGAAGATCTCAGCTCAAAACGGTTTCCAAGGTGAGCCTAAGTAGCCGTGTCTGGTGCTCTCTTACAGGTCGAGTCTAGTTATATATATGTGGTGCATGAGTTCGCCATGTTTGGCCACTTCAGGACCTGACATCAAGGCATCCGATCCGATGACGACGTCCCGTATTCCCCGTGAGGTCTCCGGATGACGCTTTCAGTGTTCACCCATTTTCCGAGCTTACACGAGCTGACCTGGTATTTTTCCCACTCTTTTCAGAGTGGGAAAAAACACACACATTACACGTAGCCCTCAATATAGCCCTCAGAAGGGGATTCACCCATGAAAAAGAATCACCCTAAGTCAAAACCAAATTCATCCATTTTGGAATCAACTCAACTCTATAGTTTTGGAATCACATGGAATTAATAAACCCTTTCGATTTGAGCAGAATCTGATGTGCCGCCACTGCCAACCCTGACATAAGACAGGAGTTAAAGCCATCTCATGATTGAAACAAACAAACAAACAAACAAACATTGTTTTGACTTCGAGCAGCCGTCGGTCTCGCCGGTTGCCTACTAAACAAACAATCACATCGGCTCATATCGGCTCCATCTTGGTTCCAGCGCGCCTGGTTGCTGAGTGTCAGCGCATCCACATACCGGGGACATCGGCGCAGCGCCGAGCCACGGAAGCGTGCGGCGCGGAGGAGCATCCTGGCGCCGTGGGCTAAGGAGCATAGCTTCGATCGAAACCACAACTGATCCCGATCCAAACGAAGTGCGCCATCCGGATCCAAGTAACCATCCTATATAGTTGTCCGTATACCTTAGAAGAAACTCCCATTCTGACAAAATTCAAATTTTGAACAAAAACATGGAAACCTGACGCCTGACAAAATCGCACGAAACCCTGAAAAGTCCTCCACTCGCGTTTGAAGTTGGAAATCGCCAAGTTCCAGCCGCTCATCGGGCGCTCTGAGGCCTTTCGATTGGAGGCCTCCTGCCAGCGACAAGCAGGGAAGGCTACATGGGCGTGGTATAGATTCTCAAGACCCCACGAAAAGCTACAAACACAGGAAGACCCTCGTGCAATCACAATCTCATGCAAAAAACATGTGAAACTCCCGTGATGTGTGATGCTATATATTTCACTTGGAATCACCTTGCTATTGGTATCCTTTGCTATACCATGGTATAGTAATGAGATCCATCCCCTACTCCACTGCTCCACGCTCCAAGCAGTCCTTCTTGTCCTTTGGGAAGGTCGCCGAGGGAACGAAGAAGCCTTGGCGGCTCTCGGTGGTGCCCGAACAGTGGGACGTCTAGATGAGAGGACGATGTCGGCTAGTATAGTAATGGTACTAGTAATAATGTTCCTGGGCTGCTTCTTGGTATAGTAATGCCATTGTTACTATATAGTAGCGATGCAGCGATGCACTTGTTACTAGTGGCCTCTTGTTGTATAGAAGTAATGAAAGGGTTTTCTGGAATGCATGACCGTACTGCCGGAGTTCATATTTTCAGGCTAAACTCGAATAAACTTAACAATGGGTTTCACGTTGAAACATATAGCAACTAAATCAAACTTTGTTTCCAACACTGGCAAACAAGATCCCTATAGCCATGCTGATACTAACCAGAATCCTGAGAAAACGGTTTATGAACATAACAATAGTTTGTGTGTTCACGGTCCGGTTGGACAGGATCTGAGGATATCTGCCGGAAACCACCGAAGAACGAAAGCACAGGAGCCGCTCCGTCGAGGAGCACACATCTCATCTGTTGGGGTATGAAAGAATGCCATTCAAAGTTCCCCGAACAAGTTTTGTCGATTGACTCGCCCGGCAAGTTCATGTCCCTCCTTGGTAGCCGACCACCTCGCTAGTAGTGCACTTTCTCCAAACAAAGGCAGCACAAAAAGCAACAACATCCAGGACCCTCTTCTACGTCGAAGAATGGTTCCCTTATGTTCCCTTGTTTCGATCCTCAAAGGCTGGTACACCAAGCTGGATCTAGTAATTAAATGGAAGCAAGATACTGAACACCAATGACATTTACCAAGTTCACCACTTGAAACATTGCAAGCCCGTTGCTTTTCAGCCTTCACAAGTGCAGTGTCAGCCAGTATCAGCTGGTGCCAAATGGTCAGTGTCTTTCATCCGAAGAGTGTTTTTCATCCGAAGTGGCTGGGACGTCCTTCTTCTTCGCTGGTGCTTTCACTCGTCTTGCTGGGATCCTGCGCAGCTGAGAACTCTTGCGATCTCTTGGGTGGTGGAACCATGGCGGAGCGGCAGTTGCCCTTCACCGTCAGTCAGTGCCTTATTCGATCGACATGCGGTGCGTTTCGGAAATCTTGAAAGAATAAAGGAGGGCTCCAAGAAAAGGGTTGGGAGTCATAGAAAAGGGACACATCCTGTACAAAAGGGCTGATTACCATGAATCAGCACCACTTTTTGAGACAAGGAGAAGGTGCTGTCTCCCGCCACGGGTTGCTCCCTCAGTACAAAGAGTCTCGTCTTGCGTCCAGCGCGAGTTTCAACTTGAACAGTACTGAACGTTGAGAGAATTTACTCAAAGCATTTGACATTGGGGATGGGTCGTGACCCACCAGGAACCCTGGAACCCAGTCCATGTAGCGAACGACCTGCCAGGTAGGTCGCACCCAGTCGGTATCCTAATGATGCTGGTATCCTGGTGTTCCTCGGACGCGCCGGCGTGAGGAGGCCACGAGCAACGCACGTGCGGTCTAACGCGCTCGCGATCTCTCTTTCACTCCGAGCAACGCCGCGGTCGGTGAAACGAACGTTCGCAAGTCCAGGGATCCAACACATGACATTAGGATGCTCAACTTAGTAGAACGACGGAGGCGGTTTGACTCGTTCGCAAGCCTGGACCCATCACCTGCGACCCATGTACTGGGGGATGTACTGTTATGCTTTGTTGGAGCCACATCTCATGTACCAGAAAAGTGAGACTAGCTTCTATTACTGCTTCTATCTGTATAAGATGCAACGGTTGAATAATGGATGCGAATCAGCACAGGTATTCACCACTATTCACCAACGTCTGCAAATGGGTGTGAATTTTAATAGGGAGACACCCAATGAATGGGTCTGGGATGGTTTCGGTCTATCTTCTTTCTTCCTCTAGGGTCCTTGCCTGGGAGGTTCTCCCATGTGAGATACACACCCACATGGCTTCTTCAATAGACAAACCAATGCCTGTGCCGCCTGCGCTGTACTTCTTTACTCTGTTGGGCCTGGATCCCCGAAGACGTGCGAGGATTCAGAGACTGAGAAATTCATTCCTGATCTGATCCTTCAATCTGCAGTTTCACACGATTTCTGGAGTAATTGATGCGAAACATGTGAGTACCATGATGGGAGCAGTTCCTGGGCTTTTCATGCAACGGAAAGCGATAGCAATGAATACATGTCAAGAACGTGAAGTGTGGAGAATCTGTATATACATTTGCCTTTTGCATAGCATATCATAGAATGCTTCTGCAACGACCACTTGCTCGTTCACCGACATTTGTGCGACTCGTTCTGTGGGACGTTCTCCATGACCCCCCCCGAGCCCTTGGAACTGGAGGGTTTCGATGCGCAACATATCGCTTTTTGCCCAGTGGAAAGACCTCGGTGTCCGGAGACGTTCCCAGAGTTTCCCTCGGTTTCTTCTGTCCCTCCAACGAACATTGGAAGAACTAACATAACTAACCCAAACGGACATTGGAGAGGATAATGATAATTGTCTTCCAAATGGTTTCTGCTCCACTTCTTTCAACTTTCATGACTGTTGGAGGCAGGGTATGTTTTATGTGTTCTCCCTCTCTCTCTCTCTTGGAAGTTGTTTAACCAAGCATCTGTGACGAACGGACAGTTCGTCGCAAAGCTGGAACGCAATCTGACCCAACGGTCCAGTTCAAGGCACTGACACTCGGCCACTCGGCATCATGCAGAAACACCTTGAAGGATCTCCATTCACTATTGTTTCGAGGCTCATTGCACAGGAACAAAAACCGTTGCCCTTCCATCTCCACAGCTTCGTTTGCAATGAATCGATGTTAACTGATTGAAGCAGCAAATTAGGCACTGTACCCTTGCCCAGTTCCAGTTTCAGCGTCTAGCTGGCTGCGACATGTCTTCGGGAACACTGCAAAGGTGACCTTGGTACCCCTTTCAAATGAGACACGACGTTATCAAAACAGGTACGACTGCACCCATTTTCCGAGGTACTTTGAGACGCCGGGTTCCCACCGCACGTGCTGTGGCTGTTGTGCTTCATGCTTCGAGGGCTTGTGGACACGCGAGTCTCTCGAAAAGCAGCATGAAAACCCAAACGATAAAAATGCACAACTGCCCCGAACATGAGAATTCCCGAAATGAGATTCCATCATGTAGTTGCTCTAGAAAACTGTTCAAGTGCGACAGTGCCCATTAGTTTCCTACAAGTCCGATCCATATGCACAAGCATGGCTCAAGACAATGCTGCTGACCCGTTTGGGAATCCTTTGAAGAAGTTCACATACAGTACCTCAGGACTCGAATGCAGTCATGAAAGCATCTGAACTCTCACTGTCACTCCATTGAACCAAGCCTAACATGGTTACCTGGATAGCATGGCCCCTGGGAAGACTACTTGCCTCTAGAACTAGGGGAAAACTCCCCTTCCATGTGAGCTCTTCGGTAGCTCGGTGTTTTCCACGTTGTTCGACTCCAACATGGTGTCGAATCCAAGACATGGAGTGGTGTCAGTGGTGTCCTTCAACTCGGACGCTTTCGACTCAGCTGGGTCTGAGGAGATGAGATACCAGGCGGAGCATGACCGGCAGAGACCCCTTTGCTGTACATGACTCAAAGAGCTCTGTCCGGCCGTCCACGTTTGTTGTGAGGCTTGGCTCAAAATGGCTTGGATTTGTTGGTGTTTCCCGTGCCATGATTGATTTGAACAAGTTGTGTTTTCTTTGAACAACATGGATTGAGTTCTAACAGGTCGGATGATCTGAATCTGAGACCAAGTTTACTAATCTGTCGATCTTCTGTTCGCATCGACTGCCAACGACCTGTCAGATATCCAGCCATTTGGGATCCGGGAAGACCCAACGAATTGAGCCATCCTGGCATCAGGATTCAACGAATCGAGGACTCGGCGACTTGGAGCCACACAAATGTGTGGGGCGCAACCGCGCTGTGTCATCCACGGCTGTCTACGGTTTGTGGCCAGGAATACCAAAGAATGTATAATATATGATATAAAGTGTATATTATGATATATCCGTGTGATATAGATATACAACTAGAAAACTGAGTGACCTCTATCTTGGACCACCTCGGTATATGATATATGTATGTGTCTATATGTACATGTACAATTCCCTGATCTGCTAGTCTAGTGCATCATGTCGGAAGAAAACTGCGAAAGGAGACCACTGCCACCTGACCCTGGAGGATATCGCCTCCAAGAGCTTTGTCTTCCACATCACATGTCATGGAATGTGACCATGAGCTCAAGCTGTCCAAAACCCCGAGAGTACGATTCCTCTTGGAATGTGCAGTTCAGGTGGGTGTGGGGCAACACCAAGCCCAAGACTTTTCTACGAGGATGGCTATCTGACTCTAAGAAGATCTATCTTCAAGGCAGTTCTAAAGGAAAACCGGCCGAATCGTCACTAATCACGCCTCAACCTGACTGCCCTTCTTTTCCTGCCTCGCCCTACCGAGGCCACATCGAGGTTGCCAAGGCGCCGCCGCACCGAGGTTGTCAAGGTTCACTTTCCACCTGTTCCGTTTGACTAAAAGACCTATGCCTAGTTATCCCCCCAAAAAGGTAAAGGTTATATATGATCATATGGTTATGTAAAACCCCTTTTCCTGGCTAGGAGGCTAGCAGGCAAGGGGATGTTATTTTTAGGTCGCTCCAAAAAGAGTCCATCTTCTCTCAACAGCACCTGCGGTCATTCTCCCA